CCCTCCACAGAGGTGACACACCCCCTCCACAGAGGTGACACACCCCTCCGCAGAGGTGACACACCCTTCCCGGGAGGCCTGCCCTGCTTTGGGACGTCCCATGACTGGGGCACCTGTGTTCCCGCAGCCAGGGCAGCTCACGGGCGCCGTGTCACCTGTCTGCAGCCCCCTGGGCCCTCGAGGTTGTGGACTTCTGTCCAGTTGTGTGTTGTCAGTGGGCAAGTCTGTGCTGCCAGCACGGTGGTGTGGGCCTGTGGACTGTCCCGCTGCCCACCTGTGCCTCAGAGCCCCTGGTGCCCCCAGCGTGGCAGGGAACGCGTGTGCATGTGCGCGGCCAGCTCACCTGGCTTGGAGCCCTCGTCCACGGAGCCGTTGTAGACCTGGTTGAGGAAGTCCGGCCGGTTGTCATTCATGTCGATGACGTAGATGTACAGGTCGATGGGGTTCTCCACCTTGTTGCCATTCATGTCCACAGCGTGGGCTCGGAGCTGGGAAGCAACGCGGAGCAGTCAGAGCCGGGGCCCTGCGGGTCTCCCTGGGGGAGGTAAAGCAGCTCCTGGGCCCAAGGATGGCCGAGGACGCCTGGGTGAAGTGTGTGTGTGTGTGTGTGCCTGTGTGTGGCTGTGGAGGGGGACATCACCTATCAGCTCCCAGTCTGCTGGACTGTTGTCAACTGCCTGAGGCGGGGTGGGCAGCTGGGAGAACGCTTCCTCCCGGTGGAGCAGGAGCTTTGACGCTGGTTACCGAGAGTCCCTCTCGGACGGGGAGAGCCGGGGAGGGGGCTGCGTGGGGGCTGCAGAGGCCTGAGCTGGCATGGAGGAGGCTGGTGCGAGTCTACCACATGTCTACCACACAGAGCCGGGCCTCCTTGCTTCTGCCCACTGCCCAAGTTCTAGGGCCGGGCATAGCTGGGGACCAGGGGGCCGCCGTGAAGGGTGTCCCTAGGGAGGGGCTGAGGCGGGAAGTCGCCCCTTGCCCTGTAGGAGGCGTGGTGGTGGTGGCTGTGGCCTGAGCAGCAACACCACAAACTGCCTTCAAGGGAAGAACTCGGGCTGTGGACTCATTTTTAATTTTTTCATTCATTCATTCATGGACAAGCACACAGAGTGGCTGACCTCTTCCTGCAGGAGAAGAGGCTGGCCTGGGAGCATGGAGGACCTGGGATTTAGGCAGAACTGACCCCTGGGGAGAAGGGCTTGCCTGGGGTCCCCCAGCCAAGCTGTGCTCCTCCCAGCTTGACAGCTCTGGCTCTACTGAAGAAAGTCTCCCTCTGAGTGGGGCCAAGCAGGTGGCAATGTCTTTGAGGCAAGTTGTGCCAGGTGTGTAGGCCGAGCCAGGCCGGCCTGGAGGCCTCCCTGGGACCCAGGGTCAGCCTGAGCACAGTGCAGCGTGTCTTGGGCATCTGTGTTTCGGCTGAGTTCTGACAGGCCTGAGTGGAGCTCCAGCCTCGAGCGCTGGGCTGTGTGGCAGGAGGGGTGTCTGCGGTCTGGCTTTATCAGGAAGGCCGCGAGTGCACCGTGGTAAGGAGACGGCTGGCGCTGATTGCCAGGGAGGTGCAGCTCTGGCCTGCTCAGCGTCCCATGAGTTTTGAATGTCATGGTTAGAAATCTTGAATGACCAGGCCAGGCGCACTGGCTTATGCCTATAACCCTAGCTACTGAGGCTAAGATCAGGAAGATTGTAGTTCAAGGCCAGGCAGGACAAACAGTCTGGGAGACCTTGTCTCACGGTACGGAACGGGGCACATCGTGGTGCTCACTGTCCCGCTGATAGGGAACAAAATGGGAGGCTCAAAGCCGCAACCAGCCATGCACAGATGCAAGACCCAGTTTGAAAAAGAAGAGCAAAAAGGGCTTGGGGTGTGGCTCAAGGGGTAGAGCATTTGCCTGGTAAGTACAGGGTCTGAGTGCCAGCCTTCGTCCCATCGCTGTGTAACAGAAGTGGGGAGTTGTCACGTGGCTGTGGCTCTGTGGTGCAGACCCTGTCAGCGGATGGCCTCGTCCCACACAAGTGCCAGTTGTCCTTCGGCTTGTCAGCTGAAGCACTGACTTGTTACATCAGAGGTCCAGGAGCTTTGGAACAAAGTGACTCTGTGCTGGAATGAAAGTGGTTACCGCAGCACTGTGCTTTTAGGCACTGCAGTCTGGCTGGACCGGGAAGGCGATGAGTGCGCTCTGACAGGTCAGGCATGGGCGTAGCTGCAGAATCACGTCCGGTGGCCCACGGATCTCCATTCCCATTGGTCTTCCAGATGGCTTCTGTTGGAAATCCCCTGCTCCCCAGTGCTCAGGCTCGAGGGCTGGAGCTCTGCGAGGGGAAAAGCGTCAGCTGGCTAGCTGCTCATGGTTTCTGCACCTGTCGAGTCTGAGCCTTGTGAGCAAAGTGAGCTTCATGTGATGCCTTCAATGCCATGTTTCCTTCCTTGTGGGACAGACAGGTGGATGAGCGTGTGGACATTCGTGTATAGGCTGGGGGTGGACTTGGGAGCAGAGGCCTTGATGATGTGGATGGAGTCCGGTTTTCTCCCTTTTGGTTGCCTCCTCTCTCTACGCCTCATCAGTGGGCAGGTCTCCTCTGAGGGTCAGGAACTGTGGAGTCCGTGCAGGCCTTGAACCCTGCCTTGGAGTCGCGTTGAGATTTTCCCCAGCGGCAGTGCCAGCAGTCAGATCTCAGTGTGCGCCTGCTCGGGGCTCACCACAGCCTGATGGTTCTTTGCCCCCTCCCCCTCCCCCTCCGCAACACGTCGGCTGGCGGTCGAACCCCCGCCCCCCCCCCCCCCCGTCCTCATGGCCACAGGCCTTCCACAAGTCTGGCTTTGGTCCCAGCTAATCTGTGCAGACGGGGAAACTGAGGCCCAGGAAAATGAGGGAAGTTGACCAAGGTGATATGATGTAGCAGGACACAGTGGTGTCTCTTCTTCATGGTATCCTTAAAAGAACCTTCTAGCATACCATCTTGCCCTGCAGTTATAGAATGTTTACACACTGGTTTTCTTAAGATGACAGATGTCCACAAATCATTACCACACTGCCAGGCCAGACTCGGTTGCAACCTTCATCAGCAGAGCCGGGCAGAATGGCTTCAAGGGCACTGTGGAGGAGGAGATAAAAATGGCTGCTAGAAAAGTGCCCCCAGACACAAATGCCACTGGCTCCAGATGTGGCAGGAGAGGCCCTGTGCCAGGGCTGGGTTATGCTGCTTGAGTGTCACGTTGCCTGGCCCGCCCACCACGGTTGTCTGGAAGCGGAGTTTCCTCCGGCTGGCCAGGCCAGGACGGGACAGCAGGAGGGCTGTTCACACACCGTTGCGGGGTCAAAGCGTGGGGCCCCATGTTGAGGAAGGCGGGTGCCCTTTGGGGGGTGAGAGTGGCCATGGCTGAATGACCGGCAAGGAGACCGAGGAGCCTGGAGAAGTCTCTGACACCAGGCCTCGTGGAGAGCCGTGTTCACAGCAGCTCTCTCCTCCCAGCCCTGCCAGGAGAGCCCCAGCTCTCCATGGGGCTTGTCAGAGACAGCGGGCCTCTCTGACGGAGCTGAGGAAGGCTTTAGAGATGGGTCAATCAAGAATACACAAGCCACGCCGGACGCTGGTGGCTCACGCCTGTCATCCCGGCTACTCAGGAGGCTGAGATCTGAGGATCATGGTTCAAAGCCAGCCTGGGCAGGAAAATCTGTGAGACTCTTATCTCCAGTTAATCACCAGAAAACTGGAAGTAGAGCTGTGGCTCAGAGTGGTAGCGTGCTAGCCTTGAGTGAAAAAGCCCAGGGAGAGCACCCAGTCCCTGAGTTCAAGTCCCAGGACCACAAAACAAAAACAAAAACACAGAAAAATGGAGCCCAACTTGCCAAGCCCAGCAGGGCCTGGCTTCTTCTGCCCAGGCTGACCCTGGAGTGTGGACAGGGACCTGTGTGTAAGCAGGGGTGGGCAACAATGTCAGGGTAGTCATTCTGGCCTCTGGCCTTGTGTGCCTGACCCCTGGCTTCGGGCAGAGCTGCGAGGCTGAGTTCCAGGCTGTTCTTCAGGCTCTCCCCTGTGGGAGTCCTGGAGGTCCCTGGGGGGTCTCTGGTCATGCTGGGTCACATGAGTGACCTTGCACAACTGGTGGCTGCATGGGGACCTGCTCCAGAGACTTGGAGGAGAGCAGAAGGCCAGGAGCGAAGTGAGCTGACCCTGAGGTCCAGGCTCCTGAGGGACTTGTCCCACCACAAGGAGGCCACCCAGGGGTGCGGGTCCCCAGGGAACGTCCAGCAGCCTTCACCGCTGGGGCCCTGCGCCCTCCAGCAACAGGCGGGCGGAGAGCAGAGCGGCTGGTCCACATGTCACCCGAGGCTGCGCCTGGGGTGCCTGAGCCGCCATCGTGCTTTGATTAGAAAAATGCAGAAATACACGGAGGAATTCACAGGCAAGAGGCTAAATGTCGGTTCTTCGTTCTGCCCCACGTTTAGACTCTTTGCTGTATGGAAGCTCTCTCTCGCGCTTGCTCTCAGGGGAAAGGGTGTGGGTTCCGGCGTCTTAGCTGTCGTAGGCCTGTGTGGACACAGGGCACTGTCCATCCTGGGGGCTGGCCGCCATGCTTAGGTGACTGTGCCCCGGGGGGCGGCAGGAAGAGCACGGGGTCCAGCGGAGTGTCCTCTCGGTTCTGTGGACATGCTGTGACAGCTGACGGTGAGCTAAGGCCACACCAGGTCACTGTGGTCAGATCTCCCCCTCCTCGTTCCGTGCAGCCCAGGGGGATCTTCCCAGGTCTGGGACACTGGAGGCACATGTGGGAGAGGCTCCCAGAGCAGTGGTGTGAGACAGAGGCTCCCAGCAGGCAGAGGAGCAGAGAGGGCCACATCCTGTGGACGCAGATCCCTGCTGCTTGGGGTCCAGCCACTCCTGCTGTCCTGGGATATTGTTCTTGTTGTGGACGGATTTCCAGCTTCAAGACCTCCCTGGGTGGGGATCCTCAGTAGCTGTGTGCAGTCCCCGCCTCTCCTCCCCGCACCCCGCCGCAGGCAGTGGAGGGCACCGTCCATCTGACACTACTCCAAGTGGAGTGGCCACCCGAGCCCTCTCTCACACAGGCTCGGCTCTCGCAAGGGCTCCACATGCTGATTAACTTCATTCGATGACTCCACCATCTTGAATTCCTAATCTGTCTGGGGCAGGAGCTCTGCCTCCACCAGGAGCTAGCGCTCCAGAGTTGGCACCTGGGCAAAGCAGGTGCTGGCCCGGCTCCCCGCAGCAGCGGTGGGCAGAGGGCCGGGGGCCCGCAGTCCCTGGTGTTGTTGGCACTGGTTCTGTCGTGGGCACCTGTGGCAGGACGATGCAGCTCTGCGGCCACCCTGACAGGGGCTGCGGCTCCCAGAGCAATGGAAGGAATTCTGGAGATGCCAGACACGCAGCGGGGACAGGAATGGTGTCGCTGCGTGAGAGCAGAGCACCAGCCGGCTCTGAAGCCAGGGCCTCCAGCAGGTGAGGGAACAGGAGGCAGAGGTGCTTCTCAAGATTGCGACAATTACAAACAAATCGGTCTCGTCTCAGCAATGGTGAATTTAATCAAGTGGCCTCCACTGGAGGCCTGGGAGGAGGCAGTGTTCCTCCGCTGGACCAGGCTCCCCGCTCCTCCATGAACCCAGGAGGGAGGCGGTGAGGCCTGCAGCACCGGCTGTCTGGGGTGAGCCTGCGTCTGCCTGTCCCCCTCCCTGCCTGCCCCCCCCTCCCCACCCCCTCCCTCCCCAGTCCCCTCCCTCCCTGCCCCAGGACCAGTGTAGCCTCCTCCACACTTGGGCACAGAAAGCCCTGGAGGAAATACTCTGAAGAGCGTGTGTGTGTGTGTGTGTGTGTGTGTGTGTGTGTGTGTGTGTGTGTGTGTGTGTGGTCAGCCGGGGGGGGGAGAGCGTGTGTGTGTGTTGGGGGGGTCAGCCAGGGGGAGGGGGGCGGGGGGAGGGAGAGAGGGAGGACAGGAATCCATACCACATTCCTGGCGGTCCCACCAGCCCTCACCCTGCTTCTTATGCAACATCAAGGGTGGGCCAGTTGGGGGACCCCCAAGACCAGTGACAAAATCCACCTCCTCCCACAATGCACGGGGGCAGCAAGCATCCCCAGGCCAGGGCCTGGCCTGGGACGCAGAGTGGGCTGTGGACAGCGCCTTGAGCTGAAGCAATGCTGGCAGAACACTGAATGTGAGGGGGGGGGGAGGGGGTGGAGACCCAAGATCCCGTCTTTGCTCCTGAATTACAGTCGAGGAGCTGGGCATTCAGCATTCTGACATTCACACACACACACACACACACACACACACACACACACACGGGTATGCACACATGCATGTGCACACACACACACACACCCATGGGCATGCAGACATGCATGTGTGTGTACACGCGCGCGCGCACACCAGTCGCCCTGACTCTGTAGGCTAGCCTAGCCCCGTCCTTGCAGTCACCCCTGACTTTTAACATCTATAGCCTCATCACCTTTCAGGAGAGGCCGGAGGCCAGGGGAACCGGAGGTTGGCTGGCGGGGTGGGGCTGGGGCGCTCCTGGCCTGCGCTGCCTCCTGTGGGTGGGACCAGACTCTCCTTGTCACAGAAGTGGGCTCAGGAGGGGATGGGCTACACCATATCAGAGAGAGGAGCCCCAGCTCCTCTCCTGTGTCCGGAGCCAGTGGGGCTGCTCGAAGCCCCCCAAAGCTGAGGCCCCGCAGCCCCCTCTCCCTCACCATTTCCCCTTCCTGTTCACAGCAGCTCTGATCTCAGAGATGCTTTTCTTTTCTCAGAGATAGCCAGGGGAGTGAGGGAGCCTTCCAGGCCCCCAATGTGACCCACATTTGGTGGCATCCTCAGGGAAGGGGCTGGAGGCAAAGCCTACTCTGGGAAGGCACTAGCGACTGCACGTGGGCCACCTGGCTGGGGTGGGTTCTCCCTGGGGTTCGGGACCCTGAGGCCTGGCAGGACACACTTCAAGGACAGCTCCGGGGGCTGGCAGGGTGGGAATGTCCTGATGACCCGCCCCGCGCTTTCCTCTGAGGACACTCACATGGTAGGAGGCCCGCTCCTCCCGGTCCATGGGCCTCGTGACGTACATCCGGCCCGACATGGAGTCGATGCTGAACACCTCCATGGGGGGCTGGTCGGCGCCCACGCCTGTGATGCTGTACCGGATGGGGATGTCATTGTCTTTGTCGGACCGGATCTGCAGGGGAGGAGAGACGCGAGGAGATGTCAGCCTGCGGGGGTGTCTGTCACGCCCGGCCCTGGTTGGCTGCGTGGCTCACCCTGGGCTGTGTTGGCAGGGCACTGGATACCTCGGCTCAGCGGGGAGCCACCGGCACGCTGCCGCCAGGGATTGCCCCAGCACCAGCCGCTCAAGTCCAGTGGCCTATCAGGTGACAGGGAGGTACAAGGTGCCTCATTTCAAGTTCAGTGTGGGATGCCTGGCTGAAATCTCCAACACAGACACAAAAGAAGGGAACGGGTGGTTTAACCATGCCAAGGCTGGTGCACACACGCCCACTGTTCTGCCAGCGAGCTGGAGACAGAGACAAGGAAACAGAACAGCCTTCTCTAGGCACCGGAGATGTCCCCTGCGGGGTGGGAGGCGGCTCATGGTGGGATCTGAGCACAGCGTGGTGCCAGATGGTGACTGCGTGGCCAGCATGGGGGCAGAGGTGAGTGCAACCGTTCGACTGCGTGGCCAGCATGGGGGCAGAGGTGAATGCAACCGTTCGACTGCGTGGCCAGCATGGGGGCAGAGGTGAATGCAACCGTTCGACTGCCTCTCAGGGAGCAGCATTATGGTACAGAAAAGCAACTTAATAATGGTTATCTGAATTCAGAATCCAAATAACTTAGCTCAGACTGAGTTGGGGAAAGAGATGGAAAATGCGAAATTCTGTACTTTATGTGCCGCTGGGTCATTTTGTCTCTCATTGGATGGCTGGATACACAGAAGTCTTTGGAAAACAAATGGCAAGTGTAGAATGAAAAATGTGGCACATGCCTTTCATTATTGCAGTCAAGTGTCTGTTAATGGGAAAGGGTGGCGGGTCGGCAAGGGGGGGCCTTGTGAGGAGCGCGGGTGGAGTGGACGGGGCTGAGCCCTCAGATCTGCACGTCTGGCCACAGCTCTGAGACTGCTCACCAAAGTTCACCCGAGTCCACGGGCCAGGACAGCAGCCGATAGTAAAACAAATGCATTCTACAAAGTGGTTCCTGAGACCTCTACCTGGAACACAATTAAATGCTACAACTCTTGTAAGAATGACTTTGTAACAATTAGTGTTCTGGACCCATTTGGGTCCAATGGGAGTCAACATTGCTTGCTGAAGCAATCTGAAGATGTTTATGCCAGGTATGGTGAGGCGAGGGTTGGCTCTGGACCTCCCGGGGCTCCCGGGGTGCCTACTCCCTCTCTGGGGTCAGCGGGCGCTTCCCACCCTGCCCTCATACAGGACAGGGCTGCCGAGTAACCGAGCAGGGCGGCACAGACATCCGGCTTTGCTCCTCCAGCCAGGCTTCCCTTCCTCCAGCTGGCTGTGGTGTCAGGCCTGGCCGTGCGGGGAAGGCTCCTGCCCAGGCTGAGCTGGGGCCGCAGAGGTCCTCCTGCAGAGCCGCCTGCCGGGGGCGGGGGAACACCTCTGTTCTCACCCGCAGCAGGCCCACGGACTTGATAACAGCACAAAGTCTAGATCCCAGGGGAGAAAGCCCTCCCCCTTGTCACCTAGCCCAAGTTGTTCCCGGTGCCAGAAAGGGTGTCAGGGAACTGGGGAGGTAGGGAGCCAACATGAGGCGTGCTCTGGATTTGGGTTATGACAGGGAGACTTGAGGCTGCAGTGGGTGGCCAAGGTACGTGGGGGTGTTGGGGACGCGTGCGCAGTGTGGAGACAGGCAGGGACCTGGAGCAGGGCCGTGGGGGTCTCCAGCAATGGCAGGATGGACGGACGGAAAAGGTTGCTGATGTACGGGTCACTAAATCCTTCAGGGCCAAGCTGCCCAGCTCTCATGGGGAAATTTAATGATAGAACTGCTGGAAAGATTTAAGGAGGACTGGGAAGGTGGCCTAGAGGTAGTGTGCTCGCCTAGCGTGCACGAAGCCTTGGGCTCGAGTCCCCGGTACCACATACACAGAAAAAGCCGGAAGTGGTGCTGTGGCTCACGTGGTAGAGTGCTAGTCTTGAGCAAAAGAAGCTCAGGGACCGCACCCAGGTCCTGAGTTCAAGCTTCAGGACTGGCAAAAAAAGATATATATATATATATATATATATATATATATATATGCATGCATATCTGTCCATATATCTGTACATATCGTCGTTATGTTATGACCATCCGCGCACACTTGCTCTGCTCCCCAGGGACCTTTGGCAGTGGCTCCTGCAGCACAGTGGCGCCGCACGCACCGCGCAGCCCGGGGCCCCTCGGCTCTGCAGACTGTCCTCCGCAGCTCCCAGGCTATGAAGAAACGCTGTGAGTGAATCCGGAGGGCCTGACGAGCCCTGGATCTGTGTGTGGGGACGAGGAAAGGCTCACGGAAGCGGCGGCAGGGCTGAGGGGAACGCGGACAGCTTTTCCATCACACGTCTCCCTCTAGATTGCACAGAGAACTACGCGCCTTTGCATTTGTTATTAAAGGGCAGAACAGATGGTAAAAGGTTAGTTTAAAGTGATGTCTGCATTAAAATAACGTATGGCGCCGGCGATGGTGTTCACCGGGGACTCGGCTTACCAGGCTGCTGTTTCCTTGGGAAAGGTGGGGGGAAAAAGGGGTTCACAGACTGCCCTGCCCCCAGGGAGCGCATGCCTTGTTCTAACCGAACTTGAACTGGGGAGAGTCGTCGTGCGGTGTCAAGGTGTAAACCCCTGGGGTTGTTTCCAATGGTCCAAGGGAGGAAGGCATGCACTGGAATCATGTTTGGATTCCGGAAGAAGAAACCTCACCGGGGAGAGGGCCAGGGCCCACACGGAAGTACCCCCGACCTCAGGGGGGCAGCCCTAGCTCCTACCCAGACACGCCATGTGCCGGGCCCTATGGACCAGGAGGGGCCAGCAAGAAGACACAGCCTGACTCCAGAACCACCTGCCAGAGCCCGGAGCTGTCTCACCCAGTAATGTCCACCGTTCTCAACCTGGACCAGAGCTGCTGGGGATGAACAGGGTCTGGGACAGGGCAGGAGGGTCTGTGAAGCTCAGTCCCAAACCAAAGCTATTTGCTCTTTTTTTTTTTTTTTGTTGGTCGTGGGGCTTGAACTCTGGGCCTGGGCGCTGTCCCTCAACTCTTCAGCTTGAGGCGCATGCTCTACCACTTGAGCCACAGCGCCACTTCCAGTTTTCTGGAGGTTTATTGGAGATAAGAGTCTCACAGACTTTACTGCCCTGGCTGGCTTTGAACTGTGATCCTCAGATCTCAGCCTCCTGAATAGCTAGGATGGCACGGGTGAGCCACCGGCGCCTGGCTGGCTGTTTGCCCTTGTCCTCTGTCTTTCAGGGTTCCTGGATACACACACACATACACACATGCACACACATACACACAGGTGTGCACGCACACACGTGTGCACACACATGCACACGTGCCTGCATGTACACCAGGGTCCCCCTCCTCCCCGCACTGGCCTCATAGGGACGGTGGTCCTGGGGTTAGTGGCTGTTAATCAGATTCCCTTGCTTCCTGGCCTGGCATTTCAAAAGATACTTTTAAAATCCTTGGGACCAAGCTCTTCCAGCAGGATGTAATTCTTTAGTGAAGTGTTTCGGTGCTTGGCCTCAGATCGTATTAAACCCAGAGATCTTCCCAGGAAAACAGATTGCAAACTCATTTTCTTTACCTGTTGGGAGTTTCTCATGGCCTGTAGCAGCTCCCATTTCTCCATCCAGCGAAAAGCCCTGAGTCGTGACGGCTCCCTGCCCCCACCCATCACACCAGGGCTCGAGCAGGTGGATTTACACTTGGCCGTGACTGCAGCCGGCCCAGAGAGGAAATTTTCTTTTAAAACCTGACTTTTGCTGGAGGCCAGAGTTAAGAATCTGATTTCGCCTGAATGCCTTCGCAGCTTCCTGTGGCTCAGCCGTCCTTACAACAGGTCCAATGTCCCGACTGTCTCATGGATAGAAAAGCAGAGCTTTCCCAGGGTTCTGTCTTCTCTTCTGCTTTGTCCCCACCACGCCCTTCCTCCCCCTTTCCCTCCTCCTTCCATCACTTCTGAGCACAGACAATGCTCTGCACGCTTCTTCTCTGCCTTGGTTATAGAGCAGGGTGATCTGTTTCCCAAGTCTAGAATTTTCCAGGCCCTGCATGGCACATTCACTCGGTGCTCAATACATACAAGGAGACACTGCCCGGGGGTGGGGCGAATGGTTGGAGATGCCCAGGTCACCATGACCTCTGTGGGGATCTGTGGCTGTCCCAGCCCTGTGGAAGGCTTCCTGGAGCTCACAGCCACCCTGAGGCTTAACAGAAGAGGAGCGGGGTGGTGAGGGACTGCTGGGGACAGGGAACCGTCTGTCCTGCCTGACCCTTTGGGCCATTAGCACAGAAGGATGGAGACAGTGGATCCGGGAATGGAAGAAGAGAAGGGAGAGGCGAGGGATCCCTCAGGGGTGGTCAAACCTGGTGCCAGCCAGCACAAGGCTAGCTGGCCTTCTGACTGGACAGGGTCTCCAAGCCCAGAGCAAGAGAAGAGTAAAGGATGGTCACAGCGGGGCTGGTGGCTGCCTGGGCAGCTGGTGGCCTCGGTCTCCTTGAAGAATCGTGGTGCATGTGCTCCACAGGCTCATCTCAGGCTTCAGCAGCCTGGCATTAGGTCTGACGCAGGCACAGAGGCCCACAAGAGACGGTCACCCTTGACCCTTGGAACACCTCAGGGCATGGAGCACTGGGGCAGAGGTGAAGACCCAAGGCCTCACGGTAACGGGAGATCCAGGGCAGACTTCCCAAATGCTTTCTTGGCTTTATTATTCCAAAGCTGGGATTGGAGCCCAGCGCTGTGAGCATGCTAGTGCGCTGCCTCTGATCCACACTGCCTGGCCAGTTACATTGCCATTCTTTCCCCTCCCTCCGTCCCTCCATCCCGCCCTCTCCTTTTCCCTCTCCCTCCCTCTTCCTCCCCCCTTCTCTCCTCTCTCTCTCTTGGACTTTAACTCAGGGTCTTTTGCTCACAGGTGCTCTACCACCTGAGCCACACCTCCAGCCCCCAC